CCGTCTTCCTGATTGGCCGGGAAGGCAGCTCCATGCTCCCTGGTGACGAGGGAGCATGGAGTCTCCTTCCCAGCCAATCAGGAAGCCGTGCAACGTGTAATGACTCACCACCCAGCGTCCTGATACTGGAAGTTCCCGTATTGGGATAGACATCGGGAGCATTCGGACGAGTACTCACCCAAATACTTGGTATCGGTGCATCACTAGCCTATACCTGTTCTAGAAGCTGCAGATTGGCATTGCATGCTGTTATTAAGATCCCTCTCCATCATTGACGCGCCCAGTTGTACTCTACTTGTAAATGTTCAGACATAAGAGCTGAGTTATAAAAACACCCAGTAACCAAAAATAGAAAAGGTCACAACACCAAGAGTCATAGACCTCAAATCTTTACTGAGGTCTTCAATGAAAAAACAGCACAGATAAGGAAAACATGGAAATCACTGACATTTGGGGAACATATGGTCTCTTCTCTCAAGGTGACAGATGAGCTGTTATCTTAAGAATGGGGACGCGAGAGTCTCTGACACATTGGGGGTTTCCATGTTTCCTTTATCTGTGCTATTTTTTCAATGAAGACCCCAGTAAAGATTTGAGGTCTATAACCCTTGGTGTGCTGGCCATCTCTTCTCTTTTTGGACTTATATTACCGTAGGCCCTGCACCCTCTGTCAGGTGTTAAAAGGTAGAGGTGCGGGGTGGATTTTCTTAGTAACCAGTCAGCTGTCAATTTCCGTATCCTCTGATGTAGCAGAAATGTATTGCATGAGTAGGTCTTGTAACTCGGAATGACACAACACTGGGTTAATATAGCATTGAAACCAAAAACTTCACCAAGGTACAACACTGCAATGATAGTAGTCACAGGAGAATTTGGGGGACCGGCTAAGACAGCATTACATTTTCCTACGTTGTGTGCACTTACCCGTGACATTTTATCAGTGCTTCTAATCCAGACACTGGTCTGTACTCTCTCTCCATGGTTAGTCCCTCAAACAGGTCCACATCACGCACAGCCAACATCAGTGGGTTCAGGCCTTGTGTATTTAATGCATTCACATCCTGGCAAGAATCTGTGGACTTAAGTAATAAGTTTGATGTATGACATTTGTTTCTCACAGAGGAGTTTCTCCCTACAGATCTGTGCTGCTGGAAGACTCGTCTATGTACACAGTCAGTGGATTCCTTCTTACACCTATTCCTCACCCCCTATTACATGCCGCCCCCCACTGTGTCCCACGACTGGACAGGTTGTAGTGTCAGTATGATTATCTTTTGAGATATAAAGCATTGCTGTAACCCACTGTGCAGTATAAATGTAATTTAAACGGAAACTCCATGAACATTTTGTACCAAATATTAGAATACCTTTCCATTTCAATCTGTAGATCGCTATTATTTCTAAAGGTGCCCACACACCTTACAATTTATCTGCAGATTTTCTGTGGTCAGATGGAAAAAGTGCAACAGATTGGCTCAGGTGTTGATTACTCCATCCACACAGTTAAGTGGAGATGGAGGAATCTGTTGCACCTTTTTCATCTGACCACAGAAAATCTGCAGATAAATTGTAAGGTGTGTGGGCAGCTTAAAGCTGCCAAAAATATCAAATGTTGTTGTCTTTCAATCATGGCAACACCTTGTACAGAATTCTCAATCCCTGTTCTGATTTGACTGCATAGAGCTGAAAGGAACATTTTAGGCAACCTGGGCTCTGTCCTTAGCTTTGATGCTGGGGGCATGTGCTTGAGGCCCAAGAACTGCTGGAGTATATACGGTATATGGAGGGAGCAGAGTTAAAGGACGGCTGCCAGGAAGGACCGTCTGCAAGGAATCTTTTTCCTGAAGAGTGTCACAGAGAAGGCTGGAAGAAGCTACTCCTGGATAATTAAAGATAGATTCACAGCCCACAGAGCTAGGTATCTTGCAACTGACTGCTATCAGTTGGGTTGATTAGAGAGCGATCTACAGTAACTTAAAGTTGAGTTCCAGGTGTAAACCTTTATGCACAAATACGTTGGTTCAGCTTGGCCCAATGTAAGAATGCATATGGTATACCTGGCCAAGCTAGAGCTACTATAGTGCTTTACAAGATCCACGCAGGCCAACCAGGCATGACATATACAGTACATACTTACATTGGTTCACCTTTATATACCTGGAGTTCAGCTTTGAGGAAGACTGACTGTCCTTCCAGTATCATAGATCTATCTAGCTGCTATTACAGGGCCAACTATTACCAAGAGGCTGTCCTTTAGAGAGAACTATGGCCAAACCTTTTTTGGTGTTGGTTCCCTTTTGGGTCACAGGAGTAGATTTATTAATGTTCTCGTGTGACCCAAAACTCTGCATATAGCGAGCCAATATTGTCAGGATCCATGCTCTGTATGGATGCATCAGAAAAGAAGCCCAGTGCACTGACCAATAAATCCTGAATGGTCCCCAGGTCTCCTTGCCAGGCTGCCTGTGCCAGGGACAGCTGTGGAAATGAGGTTCTTTCAACAGCAAATAACAACTGTGCCCGGATTCCATCGTTGGCAACATGCAGAGCTGTCTGACTCTTGAAGTTGTGTAGGGTGACATCTGCTCCATGGTCCAGAAGGAATGCAATCACCTTTACAAGCAATAAAAATAATCCGTTATCAGCAATGTAAACTTGTAATGTTGTAGACAATATTGTATGGACAATTTTACATAGAAATATAGAAGAATGAAGACCACAAAAGTAGTGATCCAATGAGTCTACCCTTTTTTGAGTATAGACCTATGTGTGTTCCAAGCATGATTAAATGCACTGACTGCTGACTGGTCCACCACCTCTGTATTTAGACATCATGCTGCATTAGGTACAGCTGAAGGATTTTGCGCTCTGCCCCATGAATTATATGAACAATGTTGTAAAAACCAAAGCTAGAATGCCCTGCTGGAGGCATCATGAGATCTGCTTTAGGTTCCCGGCTTCCTTTCCACTGTACAAAACAGCAAACTGAAGAAAATAGAGGTGGCTTCATGTTGTATGAGCTATGAAGAATCTTCTGACACCTCTCAACTTTTTCCCGCCCCATCTTTTTTCTACAGTTAGCTTGCTGAATTTAGCCACAGATGTCCAGAGGTGGCCATGAGGGGAAAAAAAACAAGGTGTAATCAGAGTTTGTAAATGCCTAATGCTACTTCTTCTAACCCTGCTGCTCTAGGCAGTGGCCCACGTCTGCCATTGTGCTAAATACAGCCCTGACAATAGGGACTCTTCAAGCCGTGCTCTCTAACAAATGTATAAGTGTCTCCAAAATAAGACATTACTTACGGGTGTAGTAAACCTTCCATAATTGTAAAGAATCTAAAGTAACAATGTAGATGAAATACACGCCTACAGAATCGAATGCGTATACCTGAAGATGTCTTCCAGGACACTTTTGCGGCTCCTAAATACAAGGTGATCAATTATGCAAATCGCGACTTAATCTGGCCTGCCCCCAGCACCTTCCTAAAGGTACAGTAAATAGATGGGTGACCTTACAGATCAATAGGAGGTGAGGGGGTGATATCGTCTACTTCTTAATAAGAGAAAACCTACATTCAGGGCTCCGTGGAAGCTCTAGAGCCTTGCTTCTCAACTGGTGGGCCGTGACCCAAAAGTGCGTGTCGACACCCCGTGTTCAGTGGGTCGCCGGATGCTTTTCACATTCCGGTTCCCGATACCTCTACAGCCTGCGCAAAGGAGCCAACACAGCAGACCACACTGGACCCCAGGCTGAGGATCCATTCCAGTCCTCAAGGAAGGGGAGACTAGGTGGACCTTAAAAAAAATGTTAAATGTTTGGAGTATGTATTTGTGTGTGAGAGCGTCTGTGAGTGTGTGAGATTGTGTATGTATGTCAGTGTTTTTGAGGGCACATTTACACTAGTAGAGTGTGTTAATTGCATAGTGCCGAGCGATGAACGCACTGTACCACGCAATCGCACGTACCGTGGATTCTGGTGTGGGAGGTGGGTTGCCATTTATTTGAATGGTACCCCAAATACACCTCCCACCCACAGTTTGTACGCCCGCACCAGAACAAGCTGTACCCTAATGCCGTGCGTTCCATTGCAGTGTGACTTGGGTCACAACTTAATGACCAAGGACAAATGAGGGTCCTGCGATTATACAGGTTGAGAACCACTGCTCTAGAGGACAAGTGCCGGTATATTGAGGCCCTTTTGTGTGCCTGCATTTTATTGGACTACCTATCTAGCCACTTTGTAGCAATGACAGGTTTACTTTGAATAATATTTTTGCCTAGTATTTGGCCTCTGAAGACTTAGCCATGTTCAGGACTACACTGACTTTAAGGTTAGTATAGCACTGGAGTAAAAAGAACAAGTATGGAGACTTGAAGGCAATCCTCCCGGGAAATGTGAGCTATTTCCTGAATCATGTCCTATCAGCAGGTCTTTTCTGTGACAATTATAGACTATTAGAATTAAAGAGATTCAGCGAGAGTGTAGTCTAGAAAAAAATAGAATAAAATATATCTTCATTTTGTTTAAAAAGAAATAAAATCGGATCTCTCCAGACAAGGGGATCCCAATAGACCAATATCTCTATAACAAACAGTGCATTAAAAGCAGCTTGTACAATATTAAAACATATATATAGCGGATAACGATTTCCTGAATCCCATCCCATCAGTAGGATCGTTTCTGTGACATACTGCCTCAATACAGCAATAATTAACCTCCCGCTCCAATTTCTGTCTGCTCTTAAAGCAGAACTAAACTGAAAGAGAACCTGTCCAGTCCAGAAAGATATGAAAACACTAAAACCATCCAGTAAACACTTTTCTAGTGGCCCGTGTGTTCTTCTTCTCCTCCTTGTCTGCGCTGTAGCCTCCATCAGTGTTTTTTTGCATAGGACACTTCTGGAAATGCCTTTACCTTCAGTAATCTGAGTCTCTGACCAGGAATATGTATTCAGATCAGGAGAGTCAGAGAGGAGTCAGAAGTCCTCATTTATATCAGTGACTGAAAGTACTGACATCACACTAGAACTGGCATTGCAGAATGAGAGGTCAGCAGTGGTCCCCTCCTCACCTCTGGCTGGTTTTCCTGAGCGGCCACGATGAGGGCCGTGTCCCCAGATTCAGAATGCTGAGCGTTGATCAGATCCGGATGACGCATGGGGCTGGTGCTCATCTCCTCCACACCCCCCCTCGCAGCACAATGCAGGAACTCACGCAGCATTTCTTTCTTCTGAGAGGGATCCTCCATCGCTATTCCCTAAACAATAATAATATTAACAATAAGAAACTGCAGCAGTTCTCTTCATACGGATACAAGATTCACCCCAATGTGGCGAGAGCCTTCCTACAATAGTTTTGGGTGGCACAGGATGGCGGGAGTTGTAGTTCCTACTGAGTTTGGGGGGGGGGTGGGCACAGCTTATCTTTGGTCTAACGCATTGAGGCCAATAAAACCATTCTTCCTGCCGTGTAACAAAATGCGGAAATTAAAGTGGAACTAAAACTTTTCTTTTTTCATTTTTGGATAACATAAGGGAGGGCTATAATCCCTGTGTGCCATCTGTGTGCATTTCCCTTCACTTCCTGTTCCACAGCCACAACAGGAAGTAAAAGGAAATTCCTCTCGAGTGAAGGAACTCCCCTGTTGTCACCAGAACTAGTGCCCCCGTTGGAGGATTCCCCTTCTATTTCTATGCTGGTGACAACACAAAATGTGGAATTTGCATTCACTTTTACTGATAATGGTCACCAGGACAAATAGAACGGGACAGAGGAATGCAGAGAGCCCAGGCTGTTCTTTGGGTCATGTGTGTGTGGTGTGGGGGGGGGGCATTCTACATAAGAGTGTCGGTCCACATAACCCCACACTCGCTGCTCCCATTTGCATCAATGAATTAAGATAACAAATGCAGAGCAGATCTCCCCCATGTTTAAGGCCATGGGGGGGCCACGTGGCCTTCACATCTGTTCCTGTCACCTTTTTTTCTTTAATTCGATGTCGATGTAACTCCTTGTTGGATGACATTTAGTTTGTCAAAGCACCGTGACACCTGACAGGAAGTCAGGCACTCAGACATGGACCGAGAGTAGAGTTGCCACTTTTTCTTCAAGTGAAACCCAAACGTTCTAGCACCACATGCGGTCATTTTGTTTTGGAGAATATGGAGGAGAGACAGCCAGGAGACTGGCTATACTACAAATCCCAGCAATAAATAATAACATGAAGTTACATTCTCTGTGTTGTTTCGGGGTGGCGCCCTGATGTCTCCGGGGTCTCAGGTGGGCTATGAAGGCTTTCAGGAGTCCTGTGTGGGAAGTGCAGGGGTCTCACCTGGGGTCCGGAGGCAGGCAGCGTGGTGTCAGGAAGGAGCCGGTGGAGGAGGTTTGCACGCACCTGCGGCTCACAGGATGATGCGGCTGTCTGAGGTCCTGCTTTCGCTGGGGACCTCGACAGCCGCACCTGTCGAAAAATATAAAATGCCGGTATTGCCACTGAGTGTCTTGTGTGTCCAGCTGGCCTGAAACCTGGACACAAGAATTAAAAAACGGACTGTCCGGGTGAATACCGGACAGGTGGCAACCCTGACCGGGAGCCCGAGAGCTGCATGAGAGGGGAGGGACCAAGCGGCATACCTGATCCCACAGGATAAAAGTCCCCTCTTTGCCGGCATTCATCACCAAGATGGTCACCGGCAGTGATGTGCATGTGACGCCATTACTCACGCGCGTCACGTGGATACATAATGAGGGGCACACGGTCAGCTTGGTGCCGCCTCTGGGGGTAGGCAACCTCAGCACTCCAGCTGTGGTGGAACTACAAGTCCCATGAGGCATTGCAAGACTCTGAAAGCCACAGGCATGACTCCGAGAGGCATGATGACATTTCACAGCCCCCGGAGGGCCGAAGTTTGGCTACCCCAGATTTAGGGAGGTTAGGTTCCAATTTAGAGCAGGGGGAACCAAACTTCGGCTGTAGTAAAACTACAAGTCCCATTAGGCATTGCACGACTGACAGCCGCAGGCATGACCTTCAGAGACAGATGCTTGAGGGGATTTGTAGTTTTTATCACAGCTGCAGTGCCAAGTTTGCCTACGTGATCCAAGGTCTTGATTTCACATGTAAGGCCAATTTAAACAAAAGCCATCTAACCTACCGGCATGTCTTTGGATTCTGGAAGGAAAGCTCAGGGAGAACATGCAAACTCCATGCAGAGAGTGTCCTGACTGGGATTTGAACCAGGGACTCCCAGTGCTGCAAGGCAGACACATAGACCACTGAGCTCTTTTATATGCAATTGTGGTTTATATGTATCGGCAGGTTTCATGGAGGTGTGATGACACAATCTGAAGGAAACATAATCTATAGTATATGTAACAATGAAGGGAAATGACTGACCTGTCCGGGGATCACCGAGTGGATAGACGCTGGCAGACGGTCCCTGGCATAGCACTGGGATATGGGACGCCCTCAGTCTGTATCCATGACCAGTACAACCAGTTCCCAGAGGAAGGATCCTCGCCAGTTGCTGGAGCTGGAAGCCAGTGAAAGGAATCTCTTTAGTTTACACATCGCTGCCAAGACGACCAGCAGTCAGCTGAGTGTTTGTGACTGTCCCCGAGGCGGAGAAATATCTGCATGACTTCATCCCACACACTGCGGGGACCGCCGCTTTCCAGCCAGGGACCGCACAGAGCACAATAATAGAATTCTCATACAAATAAGAATGAACAGGCACATGTTCCATTATTATACATGCTTAGGTAACCTGGCCCCGAGCTGATGTCTGATCTGTATTATGATCGGGTGTCTGATCTGTATTATGATCGGGTGTCTGATCTGTATTATGATCGGGTGTCTGATCTTTATTATGATCGGGTGTCTGATCTGTATTATGATCGGATGTCTGATCTGTATTATGATCTGATGTCTGATCTGTATTATGATCGGGTGTCTGATCTGTATTATGATCGGGTGTCTGATCTGTATTATGATCGGGTGTCTGATCTGTATTATGATCGGATGTCTGATCTGTATTATGATCGGATGTCTGATCTGTATTATGATCGGATGTCTGATCTGTATTATGATCGGATGTCTGATCTGTATTATGATCGGATGTCTCATCTTTATTATGATCGGATGCCTGATCTGTATTATGATCGGGTGTCTGATCTGTATTAT